AATATTAACCCTTTAAAAAACTCAAACAATCATTAGTGTCCAGTGGCATCACTCATCTTCTCACCCTGCCATACACTCCTGAGCATAATGGTCTGTCTGGAAGGAAGCATCGTCACATTATTGAAACGAGATTGTCACTTTTGCATATTGCTAACTTACCTCTCTCTTACTGGTCCTATGCATGAGAAATTTGATGCTTTACGCTCAAATCACACTGGGACTTAGTCCCTCGACTACCATTTTGTTCGTCAGCTGGTCCAATCTAAACAACTTCAAGTTCGTCACATTCCTATGGCTATCCAGCTTGCCGATGCGCTCACTAAAGGCCTCCCTGCTACGCGCTTCCGCTTGTTGTGTTCCAAGATCGGGCTAGCTGACGCCGCCTCCATCTTGCGGGGGCGTATTAGGGACAAGTCGTTGTCTCCGTTTAGTTCTTGTAATCCTTGTAACACTTGTATACAGTTTACTTCTCCTAGTTGTGTTTAGTCTCTTGTTCCCGTCTGTATCATGTAATACTATGATTATATATATATATCCTATGCCAATAATAAAATCTCACGGTTGATAAACCTTACACGCCAGCGGCCCCACCCATTTATCGGTTCCGATGAGATAAGCGAATGCATAAGAGTATCGGTCTCTTCCCTGTGGCGAATTCACCTTATGGAGTGAGCTCTTGAATTTGCTATTGCTCAGTACTAGAGGTGGCAATTGGATCGGATTCGTGGATCGTGGATTGGATTGGTGGATCCATGGATCAAATGGATTGGTTCCAATGGATTGGTGGATTCATGGATTGGATCAAATGGATTGGTGGATTGATCCATGAATCAAAATGACATCCAAGGCTTGGACCAAAATGTAAAATTTGAAAAGTTTTGGTACTAAAATGTCATAATGAAAAATTTTAGGTACCAAAATGTAATTTTCCAATGATATTTTTCGTATAAAAATATAAATTTTAGGTACCAAAATGTAAAATATAAAAAATATAGGTACAAAATCGTAATTTGCCATTTGGATCCATGGATTGATCCATGAATCCACCAATCCAATTGGATTTGGATCAAATGGATTGGATTTAAATGGATTGGATTAGGTGGATAATTTGGTGGATGGATTGGATTGGATTCATGGATTTAGATTCTAATTGCCACCTCTACTCAGTACCTACATGTTTACATGTATAAGGGAATTAGCTAGTTTTGAAAACACTTTAGAAACTAATCCACATTAGAAAAACTGCAACAACTTCTCATAATTAAATCTAAATGTTGAAGGAGGCGGGGGACTACTAGCCGCCATTCTTTCTAATGTTTGGCCGGAGAATTCAAGAAGGATATCTTCACTCAATGAAATATCATCAGAGTCACCTTTGCAACTTATTGTAATCCGATCAGGTGGTCAAATCTCTAATTCAAAACTGTTTGCGTTCAAACAAACTGAATCTAGATTCTTGATATGATGATCTATGCTTTATACTATCTTAAGTAACCTCCTTACAGACTTACCGTTAGAGCACTATGCTATAAAGCATTGGTGCTTTAATGTACAACTTGAAATTGTACCATAACTTAAATGTATAAGTTTAGGTTGTACCATAAAGGAACTTGTACACTTATAATAATCACATAAAAGTACAAGTTCAAGTTGTACCATAAAAGAATTTGTACAAAATTGGGTTCAATCAGGTTGCGAGATAGTCGAGTTTAAGATTTTATTGACTTGTGAGTTAATTAGGTTTGTAGGTTAATCGGGTTAGAGCTTATCTATGCTACGCGTTATTCACGTACGATATCAGTACGTACAAAATATCTTACACAACTAATATTCACGAATCCGATGAGGTAGGCAATATGTAAATATATTCGACATGATCATGACCGAGACAAAACATTATTCTCTTAGACCCTAAACAGGAAGAGATCAAGGTGGTAAAAGGAGAGGACACTGTTGTCATGCGGCGGCCAATCAAGATCGAGTTTAGTGCAGATCTATGTGAGAACCACGGACCTAGGCGTGCGAATTAGGGATTAAACGAACTAGGGATTTGGGGATTTAGGTGAGAAAGAAGGGGAAATTTGGGATGAGAGAGAGAGCAGAATCGGTTCCCGGGATGGGAGCCGCCGAGTTGAGAGGGAGAGGAGGGGGGTTCGGCTAGGGATAGTTGAGAGAGAGAGAGAGAGTTGGGAATAATTCTGTATTATTGCTTACCCATGACCTAACATAACATCATATATATATAACCCGACTAATTACTGTTTACTACCCGAATAATTAACCTAACCGAAATAACCCCCATAATTCTCCTATCCGATAATATCCGAATAATACGAAATAACAAATAGACTCTCAACAATTATGTTTCTCACAATCCATCCCCCTTGAAACCCACCTTGCCCTCAAGGTGGACCATGGGTCTTGTCCTCTTCTTTCTTGTCTTCTCCTTCAACGCCCTTCTCCATTTCTTCGCCTTCATCCTCCCAATTCCCGACTAGCAGCATCAAGTGACCCTTGGCGCACTGGTGGCCCACAGTATACCTCTCATCACAGTTGAAACAACGCCCATCCCGACGTTTCTGGTCCATCTCCGCCTGAGTCAGCCTCACGAACCCTCGCGGTGGTGCTCTGGCCGGGAATCGCGGCCCGGCAGTGGTCCCGGTCGCAGGAGGACTTGCTGTCGCCGCCGGTGCTCCCGCCCCGGTACCGGTTCCGCCACCCACTCCACCACTAGCCTTCTGTATCCTGCCCACAGAGGACCTCCAGCTTGCCAGCTCCTCTTCCTTCCGCCCTGCAATTCTAAAAGCCACCCGGAGAGATTCCGGCTCAAAGACCTTGACCGCCGTGGCCAACTCGGGCCTCAGGCCCGCCATGCACAGCCCCACCAGAGTTTCTTCGGTCATCTCCTTGCATTGGTTTCCCAGCTTCAAGAACTCTGCTCTGTACTCCGCTACTGACCCTGTCTGTTTAAGCTTGGCCAGTTGCTCCGGGGCCCAGCCTTCTGCCCTTCCGAACTGATATCGGAGCTCTTCCTGGAACCGAGCCCACGAAATCCTCTCACCCGCTGCTGCGTACGCCCGCTCAGTCCACTCCCACCACTGGAGGGCATCCCCCTCCAAGTAGAAGGACGCCAGATGCGCCTTCCTTTCCTCCCTGATCGGATGATTCCTAAACCACCTCTCAGCCGCATATAACCATAGCCCCACATCGCCAGTGCCATCAAACTTCGGAAACTCAATAACTGGCGGTTTAGCCCTAAACACCAGTTCATCCTCATAATCATACAGAGGGTTGCTGTACCCGTACCTGTTACCGCCGGTTGGCTGCATCGAGTGGCCCGACCCCTGATGTCGATACTCTGGCCCCGCGTTCTGCATCTCTGAGTAGGCCCAGTCGGCCATCTCATGCTGGTACACCTCTCCTCCCCCAGCCTTCGCTCCGGATCCTTGACCCTCCTCCAACCGGCGTCCCGGTCGTGCCCCCTCGGCCCGTGGAGTGCCCCATGGCGGATAACCAGCCTCGGGGCCCTGTCTGTCGCGCCTGGCCCCGCCTCCTGGCCCATACCTGCTGCTTCCCATCGGCCCCCGCCCTGGTTCCACCCGGTTCGACCCGGTCCGGCCGGGTTCGGCCCCGCCCGACTCGGTCCGACCGATCCCGGTCCGACCATAGCTGGTTCGGCCGGCTAACAACCCAACCGGTCGACCTGTTTGGTCCAGCATGGGCTCAGTCACCGGATTCTGGTCGGGCCCATTGGCCCCTGGGCCCATCTCCCACTCCTCCTGATCCGCGAAGCTCATCTCCTCGTAGTCCGGGCCCAATTCCTCGAACTCCACCACCTTCTTCTGCCTGCGGGCCTCCGCAATGTCTTGGGCCGTCGGAGCCGGAAGCAGACCTGGCCCACTGAAGACTGGGGCGGATCCAGATCCCCGGCCCGCTCCTCCTGCTGGTCTGGCCCCGCCGGGATAGCCGCCTCCCCGGCCCCCTGGGCCTGGCGGCCGCGCCGCCCTTGAGCCCCCACCGCCGGCCACCTCGCTCGGCGCCGTGGCCTCCCTGCCGCCGAGAGCGCCTGGCGGCTTAGCCGCCGCCGCCGCGACCAGCGCGCCGCCTGCCTCCCCTCCCGCGGCGCTACCCGCGCCACCAGCCGCGCCGTCGCCCGCCCCCGCCGCCGCTCCTGGCGGGGCGACTTCCTTCTTCTCGGCAGCCGCTGATACCGCCGCCGCCATCTTCTCCACAGCCTCAGGTCGGCTTCCCGGGCTTGGCTCCTTGCCCTGAAACACCCCGATCAAAACCTGAGTCATGGTGTCCGCCAAGGCCTTGCACAGCTTCTCAGTCATGGCCGTGCCCATCTCCTCAATCGAGGAAGTAATTCGCTCCCCCAGCGCCTCTATGGCCTCAGTCGAATTCCGGGAAGCAGCAGCAGCTCGCTCTGTCGAAGCCGTCAAGCTCTCCAATGTTGTCACAACCGCGTCGTACTTGTTATTCGTGATGTCCTTCACGGTCACGATCTCCTGACCTTGCCTCGGCTGTTGCGGTTTGTCCATGTTTGACATATCAATTCCTGTAGCTCAGTAATCAGCACGCCAGCCAGGCTCTGATACCAATTGTGAGAACCACGGACCTAGGCGTGCGAATTAGGGATTAAACGAACTAGTGATTTGGGGATTTAGGTGAGAAAGAAGGGGAAATTTGGGATGAGAGAGAGAGCAGAATCGGTTCCCGGGATGGGAGCCGCCGAGTTGAGAGGGAGAGGAGGGGGGTTCGGCTAGGGATAGTTGAGAGAGAGAGAGAGAGTTGGGAATAATTCTGTATTATTGCTTACCCATGACCTAACATAACATCATATATATATAACCCGACTAATTACTGTTTACTACCCGAATAATTAACCTAACCGAAATAACCCCCATAATTCTCCTATCCGATAATATCCGAATAATACGAAATAACAAATAGACTCTCAACAATTATGTTTCTCACAATCTAGTAACCCCGACCCTTGATCAGTTGGCCGGAGCAGCGGCGGCGGCGACGGTGGGAGGGATGGCATAGTGGTTAATGGTAACGGCATCGTCCAAATTGGCCGGAGGGTTGAAGAGGTCAGCTACTCGGAGCTGGAAGTAGTCTTTGTAACGGAACTTGCTGAATTTGGGCTCCTCCTTGCTCTCTTTCATCACCTCTGCCAGTGGCTCCACCATTTTCTCGAATCCGATGAGGTACGCGAACGCAAACGAGTGCCGGTCTCTTCCCTGCGGCGAATTCACCTTGTGGTTTACGCTCTTGAATTTGTTGTTGCTCAGTACCTGCGATATACCGCGCATGTACTTGATGACAATCCGAGTCGTTGGAATCAACGAGTTTCGTCATGTAAAATTAAACTTATGGATTGACTTTAGTTTGAAATTTTTTTTTTAATATATGAATAAGTAACACAAGATCCATTTTTGAAGGCAAGAAATTCAAACACGAGAACTTTTTTGAAAAAAGAAAAAAACTATTGATATATAACTACTTGGTTCTAATAAATCTGATATGTTACCGGGTGTCAAAAGCAAGGCTGACAACGGAATCAGATAGTACATATCCATTATGTTAATAGACCCAATTCGAATTTTACCCATATCCATATCACAATCGTGTAGAATATCAAAACTATACCGATACCCGATCGGATTTCTGATGATATCCATGGAATATAATTTCTCTTAACAATTATACAGATACTAACCTTACATAAATGACAAATTACAACACTGAATTACTAATATGAAGAAAACTAGTTAAGAACAATACAATCTTTATGAAATTATTATATATGCATGAAAAATATCAAACATGTTAGAGAAATATAATGATCATTTTAAACAAAATATACATGCTTGCATATATCCCGCCGGGTTCGAGTTTGGATAGTGAGAAAACTATGCCAAACCACTATCCACACTATTCAGATTCGAGCTTTATCCATACTAATAAAAAAGGTTTTTGGGTTCGAATTTTACCCACCTAATTAAGTAAGATTCGAACGGGTACCGATAATTGTTTTTTTACACCTATATTATATATATCCTAATAAAAAAAGGTAAATATAAACAGGGAGATGAGCGTGATGAGTACGTATGTAATAATTAGTTTAATTACCTGGATGATGTCACCAACGTTGACCACAAGGGAATGAGGGATTGGAGTGATCGGAATCCACTCGCCGTCCTTCTGAAACTCCAGCCCTCCGACTTGGTCTTGCAGCACTAAAGTCATCAAGTTCACGTCCTTGTGACCGTACAAGCCCGTCTTCTTGTCCGGCGTCTCCAACTCCGCCGCCGCAAAGTAGCGGAACGCCGTCATTATATCCCACTGCCGGTCGTCGTTGAACTTTTCCATCAAACCTTCAGGCACTCCCAAGCACCTGTTCATTAGGCTCTCGATCAACCTCGCCATCGCCAACAATCCCCCGTAGATCTCATCCACTGCTCCCCTACAGTACAGACCATATTCAGTATTATTTGACCAAGTGTAATATCTGTACCATCCCTAACATTTTTTTCCGACCAAGATATATATTGTTCGCTTTAGGTCTATCTCTCACGATAATTATTTATTGGTGTTAGAAAATAAATATATATCTAACTACTATCATAAGTTAAAAATGGTCGAAAAATTTTAATAAGATAAATTACACTCGCTATACTTTCAATTTTTTTTTTTGTCTTCCTCCTTGTATGTTACTTTTCCCAAACATTCTCAATTATTGCTTTTATTCTCCGTCCAAAATTATCCCCTTCTTTTTCATTCTTCCTTTAATTTTCTTCATTTTCATTAAGCACAAATACTAGCATAACACGAACACGAGTAGACATGTCACGATGTGAACCATCCTCGGATATGGGTCAAGTCTAGCAAATTTGGAAAATCGGCTGACACGACACGACACGACAAGAAAGATGACGGACCGTGCCAAATATGTCGCGGGATAAACAGGCACGGCGTATAGCGTGTCACTGCTTTCATCCAACTCAAAATATTATAAAAGAAAGAAAGTAACAATTTTCCTCCAATTCCAAATACCGTGGTCCTGCCAGTCCAAACATTACCCATCGCCTAACTAAGTACACTCTACAGCGAGCACATTTAATATTTTCATAATTCTCACAACAATTCTTCCATTTCACTCTAAGACACATCTTTTCAATTACATTAATAATTTTTTATTTATCAATCATACACCTTCCACGTAATTTATCATTAGTCTATCAAAATCTGTATAATCGGCCATGGAAGAAGAAGAAAAAATAGTAGTACCTGAAAGGAGCGGGGCTTGTGGGGTAGACGTTGAAAGCGGAGGCAGGTTCGAACATCAAGAAGTACTCGTTCTTGTTGGGCGAGTGGTCGGGCTGCTTGGCGTAGCCGGTGGTGACCGGCGTGTCCGACGTCGGCGGGGTACACTTGAGCTTCTCCTCCGAAGGGCGATCGAAAAACTCGTGTGCCATTTCCAAGGACCGGTCCATGGCCTCCGCCGGGATGCCGTGGTTGACGGCCACGAAGAAGCCGTAGTCGGAGCAAGCTTCCCGGATGCTGTTGATCACCTCCTCTTTCTCGACCTCATTTTCTCCGCCGCCGGTGGTGAAGAAAGGAGAAAAGTCGATCACCGGGAAAGAGGCTGCGGCCGCCGCTGGGCTCATTGTGTTCTGTGTGTGTGCGTTTTTTTTTTTTTTTTTTTGCTGAGCTTGACCTCTTAAGCGTTGACTTAATATAGCAAATTGGTAGTTAGGTTATGTATTGATCGTCCTCTATATATAAAGAAAAAATGGAACGTCCCACCAAAAAAGAAAAAAGAAAAAAGAAAAATGGAACTTTGATTAAGGGCACCAGCCGATAGCACGTTGGTTTATTTAAATACAGCAGAAAAATGGCCGTTGGCAGGTCACATGCCGGAAGAGAACGAATTAGCTAGCTTCCACTAATTCATAATTAAGATTAGTGGTGGATGAGATGTGACGACCAAGATTCGCTTTTGCTCTTCTCAGTTTTGTGCTTCGCTACCAAGTTTTGTCGTTTCCGTCTTTTTCTGTTGTTTACTTGTTTTTATGTATTTTTCCTCGAGGCGTCAAATGAATTGAATTCATTGAAGTATAGGTGAATCTATGAGTTAAATGGATTGGATTCAATGGATTGGAGGATTCATGGGTTGAATCAATTGGATTGGTGGACTGATAGATGAATCCAAACGACATCCAAGCCCTGGATCATTATATAAATTTTGAAAAGATTAAGTACTAAATGTCATTAAGAATTATAGATATTCAATCGTAATTTTCCAATGACATTTTTAGTATAAAAATAAATATTAGATACCAAATTATTAAATTTAAAAATTATAGGTACTCAATCGTAATTTTCCTATTAATAATTATGATTAGTGGTTGATGAGATGTTAGGGGTGGAAATCAGTAAGGTATCGGTATTTCAAAACAAAATATCGAAATTCCGAATACCGAATTACACCCTAAAATTAGGGGTGTGCAACGGTTCGGTTCGGTCCGGACCGGACCAAACTCATGAGAACCGCGCTCCATTAGTGAAAGACATGTTAGGACCAAGGACCGGACAATTCTTGTATTTGGTCCATTTGGTCCGGTTCGGTCCGGTCCAAATATGAGTTCGGTCCACCATTTCTTCAGTAATTATAAAATTCATTAGGACCAAGAACCGGAACGCATTTTACTCGTTCTGGTCCGGTCTTAACAACGGTTTGGTCCGGTGTGGTCCGGTACGGACTGGACCATTGCACACCCCTACCTAAAATCAAATCACAATCCCAATTCCTAAATATTTCGGCATCCCAATCTGTATTATCTAATATGAAATTAATTACATTTTCAATTAATAATTAAATATAAATTAGATTTTATTGTTTAATTTACTGTAAAGAGACTAAGCAAAGAGTCTTGAGTTTGTCTAAAGCTAGCCAGCTAGGATATGGATAGGAGAATGGAGAAGATGTGACATTTCAAATTCTTGTCATTTGTAATCTTTAATTTGACGAATTGGAGGCTGAGAGACGACTAGTACTAGTGTTTGTTTTTTGGTGTTATGAAAATAATAAGAGATTAGGTGAGTGACGAGACAGACTTAAATTGGAAAGTCAAAATTTAGTTGGATGGGGGCTTCTAAGTTGTGAAAGAGTGAGTAATGACCAAAGGTTGTGTGCTATATTTCATTAATTTTAAATTTTTGATATTTCAATATACACCGATCCCAATCTCAATTCCGTAATTCCGAATACCGAATAACATTACAAAACAAATTTCAATCTCAATTCCTAATAAATAAGCGGGTATTCGGTATAAATACTGTTACCAAACTTCCAATCATGTGACGACGAAGATTCGCTTGAGCTCTTTTTAGTTTTGTGCTTCGCTAGAAGTTTTGTCGTTTCCCCACTTTTTGTTCCGTTGTTTCGATATATTTTCCCACTTCTAATCTTCGATGCTTTTTTCGTCGGGTAATGAATGGCCGGCTGTTTGTACAGTCAGCCGATCATATTATGTTTTTAATTAGGTTGTTGATTCCACCCACTTTACATTTTTATGGGTTAAGAAAAAGTAACGGTTTTGGACTTTTGGAGTGAGTATGGTTTTTTAAAATAGTTGCATCGAAATCAACCAGTAATATAAGTATGCTATTGATTCCATCCACTTTACATTTTTATGGCAGCTTTTAAGGTAAATTCCTAAAATATTATGTTATTTTTAATTTATTACCAATATGATGGTTTTAAATTTATTGACACAAATATTGTGTTTTTTGGAAGGAGTGTGAGTTCCCATCAGACTAAAGTGGATCCGCTATTTATGGTTTTTTATGTAAAAAGCGCGGGCCCGCGTGGTACTGGTGCGGTGCCGCTTTCTTCGTTTTAAAGCTCGCTGACAGATTTCCTTAACATATTGACCAGCGGACCCGAGCGAGACTGGCTTAATTCCGTTGGCTTTTTTTTATTTCGCTTACAGATTCCCCAAATTTTGACAAACGTTCCCACACCAGTCTTATGCGGACTCGCAGCCTTTCCCACCCCACTCCAGCATATTTATCAGTTGATGATTCCCTTCCTTTCAGTATCCTCACCACACCAAAAACTGATACGAAGCTAAACGAGAGGGAGGAGCTCTGCTGGTTGCTACAAAAATGGGTAGATAAGAGACACATTTATTTTCTTAATTATATTATTAAAATGCTATTATAATTTTCTTTAGTTAGTAATTAGTGAATTTGTTTGTTATGTAGTGATTTTAGAAGATCTGAACTAGTCGTTCGGTGGAAATCGGAGAAAGTAGAGGACAATTTGGGCGTCCATTTCGTTGATGGTAGAAACTTTCAATTGACAGTTCCATACAGGGTGACATATCATCAATTTTGTGAGAATCTAATCCCGAGAATACGGCGCAAAGACGAAGCAGTACAAGATAGTGATATGATCACTGGAAAGTATAAAGGAGTGCTATTCATTTGCCATAGTGGAGAGCGAGAATACTGATAGTTGGCCATGGTTCATAAGACACGTTCAAGATTTCACCAATCTAAACGATGTCTGCATCATCTCAGATAGACATGTGGGACTCTGTGAAGCCATGAGTGACATCGGAATAGGTTGGGAGTGGAGATGGTGCATGCAACACTATGCAAGCAACTTGCAAAGGAAGACAAAAAGAAAAATTATGTATAACCAATTGTTTCGAGTGGGTAAGCCTTCTTCATCGTTATTGTTATTTTCATTTAGTATTGTCATTAATTTATCTAACTCATGTGGTTACTTATTTTGTTAGCCCGAAAAAAATGCTTGGAGAAGTTCGATAGTCAAGTTGAGCAATTTAAGAAGATGGCCGCTGATAGAAATATTTCTTGTGATAACTGGGTGGATCAAAATCAACTTCGTTGGAGCTTAGCACATGATAACTATAATGGTGGTCGCCGATGGTCTATGCTGACATCCAACATGGCAGAGAGCATTAATGGTGTTTTCAAAGGTATTCGTTCACTTCCTATAGCTTCTCTTGTGCAACATGCTTATTGGCAATTATAGGAGAAATCGATAAGATGAGGTTGGTGACAGAAGCACAAATCAGAAGTGGGAAGTCACAGTACACGAAACCATGCACATAACTGATGAAGTCGTGGGCACAAAAGGCAGTTGGTCATTCCGTGACAGGAGTTTATCGACGTCAGGGCATCAATGTAGTTCAGACTCCTCCCAGCAATTTCAACATGACGGGTTCGAACACACTCACAGTGCATTTCGACGACCACAATCGGGCGGGATTTTGCACTAGTGGGAAATTCCATGGAAATAAAATTTCTTGCTCTCATGCCATTTAAGCTTGCAACCGAATGGGGGCTAACCCGTATAGGTTTATAAACGATATCTATAAGCTTCAACAATATTGGCTTGTTATGGGACAAGTTTCACACCTCTTGGTGAACCTAAGAGGTCGAAGAAGCTCAATGGCTCTACTCTCTATCTTAATGTGCACATGATGGAATTCGGGGAGGCCACGAACAACAAGAATTCACAATGAGATGGATTGGCCAAGAGAGGAAGTAGCTGGACATGATGAATCAACTTCTGGTGGAGGAGCAAGTGGCAGTGGGAGCCAGCGAAGAGGAAGTGGTAGACGTGCGAGAGGTGGTAGAAGAGGAAGTAGTGGTAATAGACGTGGTATGTAGTTTGGTTGAACATTTATCAAATGTAATAGTTGTTATTTTTCGAAGTACTTGTTATTGTTTGATGTTGTTATGGTTTGAACGGTACCTGCCTGTTCCGTACATGCCTGCCCTCATCGTGCTGGGTCTGATCTCCCTCCACTATGTCATCCTGATCTTGTGTACCGAACAAACCATCTACCTAAGACTGGGGATGCTCATCTGTTTCATCTGTGGTAAACCCCTGCTCCCGAAGCTGCTGCTCATGGTGCCACATCGCCTCCATAAAGTAACGCCCCATCTAGGGTGTCTCTCCATCTATAAGGCGAGGCTGCTCTAGTATCACTACCTGAGGCTGTGTATCCACCCATCATAACATGTTGCGACGGTGTATGAAAGCTATCGTCTGGTGGCTGAAATCCTGAAGAAGGCTCCCCCTTAAATTGCGTATGAGTCTGAGAAGGCTGAAACCCATAAGAAGTCTCCCCCTGAAACCGCGTCTGAGAGGGCTGATGAAATGCTGAAGCAAGCCCTGTATGAAACTGCGTCTGAGAGGGCTGAAACCCTAAAGAAGTGACCGGCTGAAACTGCGGAAGGAAGTCAAAATTCGTAGTAGGTCGGACCAGTTGTGCACGTTGAAGATCAGAAATCCGCACTAGGTGAGGTACGTCGCGCTGCTCACGTCACTGTCTACGCCTCTTAGGCTACTGCGTGAAATGTGGGCCTCGCACATCCCAGTCATGTCTCAGATCCGTACACGCTGGCCAATTGGCAAGGCTGCTCTCAGATGGCTGCCGATGTACAGGTACTGTCACATCAGGATGTCGACGAGATTCCAAACCTAAAGCTGCAACCCCTGCAGCCATCATGTCGGCCAACTCCATACTCTCAACGGCGGACAACCCTCCACTCCGTAACCTCAGCTCAGCATACTCCATGGTGTCATACTGAAAATTAGATTTAAAATATACATGATTCCACACAACTATGAATTTCCAAACAAATAATTTTTTTTTCAATCAATAAATAACTAACCGTTGTGTTCACTCCTGCTACTCTCCGTGTGACTGCACGTCCGGTAACATCTTGATACCACTCCAAATGCTCCGAGTGGTAGGTTAATACATCCTGACTATATGGCATAGTTGCTATATACTGATGTCGACGAATCCACAAATCAAGAGACTCTCTGGAAGCGTGTATCAACCGCTGCCCAAGCGATGGCCCACGAACTGTCTGGCAAAGAAAATACCTAATCTCAGCCTCAGGAGCTGGCTGATGAGGCTGATTCTGCATCATGCCAAACTGTCGGAGTACGCAATCTGGATGTTGCCACATCACTACTGAAAAGCAGATCAAAGGAACTACTGCTCGAAAGGTATCTGACTAGATCGAAGTACCCTGAACTGACCGCCTCTCTCCCAGTAAGGCAGTCACTACACACAACAAGTGATCACATGATTACTCCTAATCTAAAACAAACAAATGAGAACTATTCTTATATGAAATTTTATATACTAACCACGATTGTGAAAGCTCGTCAAAAAACAAATTATAACTGAAGAATTGGTCACCGAGCACCACGTGGGTATGCGTCCCCTATAATAGGCTCATCCATCACTCTATGTTGTGGTGCTATCTGTGGAAATCGCTCCCACGCCCAGAGCTGCAGTAAGGAGACCCAGCCACCAAGGTCACCTCCTGTGGAAAAGGCATGCATCATCTGTAGAACCGACCTACCCATCTCACTATACAGGTAGGCTAAAACAGCTGCTCCCCAAGCGAACCCTCCAGCTCTCTGCTAATTCTCCAACATGAGTAGATACTGTAGATGAACTGTAGATCCAGTCCGATCAGGGAACAATATACCCCCCCCCCTCGGAGATAGGGCATAAGCTCGTGCAAACTGCCCTGTAATCTCTGATGATGCATTTGGCGGCAGATGATTGAATTGATCCCTGAGCCAACTAATCCTAATGACACCGCCGGAAAGATCAGTAAGAGCATGTCCTAACAGTCTCATACACGTCGCCGATCACTCCTCATCTAGCACGTCTAATATGACGGCCTCACAATTGATCGGTAGACCGCTTAGTGTGGCAACGTCCTCTAGAGTGATCATAACCTCACCAAGCGGCATGTGGAAGGTCGATATCTCAGGTCGCCAACGCTCTATGAGAGAAGTGATCAAAGATGCATCAGCAGTCATAGGGACACATTGTTGAACGCTAAACAACCCGAACTCCTGGAGATACGACTCATAAGATGGATGATACGTGACCAAATGGGTCATACCTCGAATCTGGTAAACGCGATCACCAACCTATAGTGCACAAAACTTATATTAATTCAATTTCATGCGTAATTCTATTTTCAGTTCACCTAGTAAAATCTATCTAATCTAGTAAAATATATCTAATCAAAACTTATACTAATTTCAAAAAATGTCACATGCAATTTTAATTTTAGTTCACCTAGTAAAAATCTAAACATCAAATCTAACTAGCTAATGAACTTTAATGAAATACTTACCTCGTTTTGCCAAACTGAGTTGCCACGATGTTGACCATGTGCCCAAAGAAGTACCGAATCGACTGGGGCTGGATCAATTATCGTAAGTGGCCACCTCGTGGAATAAGTGTCCAGAAGTATAGGAACTGCAAAAAAAAAAAAAAAAAAACAGAACAAAAATTCGCCGCCGGCGAGATTACTCACCTCAGTACCTGCATCATGCCTGTCGGCCTCTTCCTCCGTCAACCGCCTGTTCTTCGTCGGAGTCAGACATAAAAAAACAACCAGGTTTGCTTCGGCTCTTCCACAGGAGATTGGAGGGTTTTCGAGCCAGAAGAAGCGGTTCTGCAGAAGCAGAATGTGAACCAGCGTGAGATAGGTGGGGGGCGCGGACCCGCGCGAGGTTGGGGAGGAGAAGAAGGCACGACGCGATGGAGGGTTTTTCTCTGTTTGGGGGTGGTGTGTCTGCTGCGGGAGGGGAAGAAGATGATAAAGAGACAAGAGAGAGCCGTTGTGTTCTCGCAGGAGACTGGCGCGCGTTTCTGTCTTATGCGCATCCGCATAAAACTATTGCGGGTCCGCACTTGTCCTGTTCGAAGTCGCTTCTGCAACGGCTAATCTTGAGTCTTGCGCGAACTCGCTCTCCCTTCCCCACAAAAACACAATATTTATGTAATTAAATTTAAAACCATCATATTGGTAGTAAATAAAAAAAGGGATATTTTGGGAATTTACCCGACTTTTAATGGGTTATTCGATACGGGATATATATAGAATAACTCTATTCAGTAGGGGTTATTTTGGAGGAATTTGAGAACTTATTCTTTTCTTTTTATGAGTTGGTTTCATTTTGTTTTGCTTCTTGGAGGCTCGGTGCTATAACAAAGCTGTCATGACTCATAAAATGTAGTGGCAAAGCAGACTCTTTCATTGAAAATCCAGTTGCTTACAAACTACCGAATTTGGTTGGAGTGAATCTTGTAATCCTATTGAGTCTGATATGAGTTATTCTAGTAATCGAGTCATTGTACCGATACCATTTGAATTTTCCTTTGAAAAAAAAAATGACATTAAGTTTGGGAGATGTAACCTGCACACTACTTCTCAAATTTACAACGTGTTCAAGCTTCCTACAGGTATAACTCAATCACATTAACCATCAATGTTTACTAATCTACAAACAACTACCTATAAAACTCTACATTCTCATCCGGGAAGTAGTATCACTGCGAACATAAGCAACAACCTCTGAAAATTCAACTGCTTTGGGGATGTCCAACAACTAAGCTCATACAACTTCATCTCTCACGCCGCACAGCCAAATATAATTGATCAGAGCTGTTTGCCCGCTACTGTTAGGAACGAAACAACAACAAGAACGAGGTTATCAAATTTGAAGCTGAGTTGCGGACTATGTCACTCTCTTTAAGACGTCCATAGCACTGCCCTTGATGCGCACGGCAGACTATCAATCGGTCGTCTCCAGGATAAAACAGCTCCTCGAATGCTCGGCGGTTTTGTGCGAAAACCGGAGCTCTCTGAACACTCTCTCTATTGTGTTTATACTCGTTGCGGTGTGTTTAGAGGGGCTGGAGAGGCGGCTATTTATAGGAGCCGAACCCCTAGGAATATACCCTCTAGCTTGGGGAATAAGTCGGATTAATTAAGGAAGATAATTACTTCCTTAATTAAAAACCGTCGGTTAATATAAATCCTGCGGGATTATCCTTCGAATATTCCTTTTTAATTGATTATCCTTAGAATATTCCTCAGAATAACAGATTAATAATTAATTATTAGATAATTAATTTCGTTCGGAATTTCTCCAAAAAATATATAGTCTCAAGTGAACCAACCAACCAACCGGTCGGTCGGACAGACGGACGGTGCGTGTAACACACCAAACTTCGAGAAATTTATAAACAAATTAAATTTTAAGATGAAACAAGAATTCCATTCCTACTCGCAAGTAAGTTGCGATTGAAACTATTGATTGATGACATTTTAAGTAAGAATATTCTGGGTCAATTTATCAATAATCAGTATCTAAGCTCGACACTCTAAGTTAAGAAATTCTTCTACGATCAAGTAGAATTTTACAGATCTTAATTTGGAGTCCAAACGAGTGAGATAAGTTAGTCCAAAGTGGAACCTATCGTTAGAGTAACGTTTGCGTACCTAAAGCTAAAACGAACGTATCTTATTCGTTTGACGTCGAAATAACGAGCCGTTTGCGGCCATGCAATCGTGTTGACAGGGAGAACATTTTAGAGTGAACAGATATAACCCAGAACGTCTATATAATCTTGACGATCACCGACAATTAAACGAGTACAGAAAACAAAGGGGTGTTGGGTTTCTATATATAATGGAGGGGAAAGTAAATAGGCCGACAACTTCTACCCCTGCATATGCCAATTTAATGAAAGGCTTGTAGCACCAGATAAGGGAAAGATCATCACTCCCTTATCTTGACAGCACAAAAGAAGCAGGCTGCTTCAATAAATTCCCTCACCGAAAAACAACTTGTACCATACAAAATCATTACTCTATTTATTCCATCCTTCTTCCTCTCGGCACAAACCGTAACCCAGGCCCCTTTCCATTCATATTTTCACAAACCAAGGACAGCAGCAGCCCTCTCCATCTTCTTCTTCTCGTACAAGAAACCAGGAGCCAGCACCACCTTCCTTCCTCCCCTCTCTCGATCAAGCAAGCAGCTCGCGGCCGAGCATCATCGTCACTCTCCTCCTTCTCGTCCAGTAAACAACTGAGCATCACCATTCTTCTCGTCAACAAGCAACAGCAGCTCCAGCTCATTTCCCTCGCATCAATACACGTCCAGAGGTAAGGGCTCCGAGCTCGGAACTCTCCTACCTCCAAACTTCGGTTAAACTAACCCCAAGACGCGGTTATAACATAGTTGCGACGGCGATCCCGACGTATTGTACTTCAACGAAGCTTCAAAAGCTTGGTACCATCTCGAAGAGGACAATCCCAGGAATGTCACGGAGTCAACGAAACTAAATTCCGACGTTAGACGAGGGAGAACGGAGCTACGAAAGTTTGAGACGTGAGCTGAAACGTCCAGGTACCTGTCTATGAGAAAATATCTAGATTAGTCCCCTATGTTTTAATATGAGCAGATTGGTCCCCTACGTTTCAAATTTTGACAATTGACCGAATGTAGTATTTTCTAATGGACATGTTTACTTCCGACGCGTTTCAGTGAATATTTTTATGATTTGATAATTTTAAAAATTAGAGAATATTATTTTGATGGCTGGATAATAATTTGAGAATTTTATGAGCTGTATTTATAATTCTAAAAATTTGTAGAAAATCAGTTTTAGAAAATTAAAATACTGTATAAGCGACTTCGGTATGTTTGATAATTTTATACGTAACTAGGGTGCTATAAGGTTACTCATAATAAATTTGGAGATTTTAAGAGGTGATTTAATATTTATAAAAATTAAACTAAGGACGGTTTTATTTAACTAAAATAGTAAAAGAAGGCTCCTGACCCATTTGATAATTTTACAAGAATCTAGAATGACGTTTTGATATTATAAAATTATAGATTTAAGGAGGATAGTTTTTAGTGAGTTAAAGGTGATAAATTGAGCAGTATCGACTAAATGGATATACGTTCAAATTATAGGTTTAAGGTAGCAATCGGAGTAAGGGTTCCACATCAAGGGAACTAAGTAATCGCCACAAGAGGTGAGTGTAAAGGGGGTAAAATCTACGCCTTACATATTTTCAAGTATTTATCTTACGGTAATTACGTTTGAGATGTGCTGCTATGTGACATATATGCTTATGTATGTTTACGTGATGCATGATATTACATGTAAGTTATGTTTTCAGTCATATAGTTGATGACATGTATTTAATTACTAGTAAGTTACTTTTAAGGGGTACAACACCTTCGAGGAAGATGTAAAGTTTTAAGAGTTTTTAGTCGCTAGCGCCAGTCCATTGCCCATATGAGATTTTGAGATGAGCAGCAGTTATGCTCTTGAGACTTTTAAGATGAGCAACAATTATGCTCTTGAGAATCATGGTGAAGAGCCACCACAATAAGTATAAGATGTTGGGGGGGGGGGGGGGGATGATCGTTACGACTCCCCTAACTAAATTTAAGTTCAAGTAAGTCCGGATGGGCTCTCATACGTATGAGTTGGGCAACCAGACTAGCTAGTGGGGGATCCCACTGTCGGTCAAAGTTTTAAAGTTTTGAGAGTGGGGTTAAGAGTAAATCTCACGTTTTAAGAGTTTAAGTTTAAAGGGCGAAAGTATAAACAACTTCCACTAATTTTTTGTTTGAGGAACACTTAAGGTAATAATCCGTAAGTGTTTCAAGTTTAAGTAATGGCGTAGACTAACCCCAACTCACTCACCAGATCGTAGAGGAGGAGATCAAGATCAGATAGTTCGTGGACAACAGGTTAAAGGGGCTCAACATTAGCGTCGTTAAAGAATGGCGGACCAAGCATCAGAGTAAGCGTTGGGGAAAACTTTTAAGTTATTTGGACTTTGTGGTTGAAAGTTAAGAACTGGAGATTCCGGTCGTTTGTTTCTTTTAAGAATATGATTTGGGGTTTTGCCCACATGTTTAGGGCTTATCATTGAGATTTCAAATTATTAAAGTGTGGTGTATTTATTTTAAGTGTGTTTATGAATAATTTTTAAATATACCCCGGGGTAGAAATGTATTTTACATGTCTCAAAAAGGTGGGATGTAACAGTGCGTGTGTGTGTGTGTGGTGGTCCGTTAGGTCCTCCCTCTCCCACAAAAGTGGGTCACCCCGGGGTCATTTGGATCCAGGTTTTTAATTTGTGGGATTTTGGCTCAAATCACTGGTTTAAAAACCCAGGTTTTTAATTTGTGGTATTTGTGTGGGATTTTAAAATAGCTGATCACCATCAGCTATTTCATAATCCCACAATTGTGGGTTTCTGAAATCTCTAATATTTAAAATCTCTTATCATATAATTGCTTTCCAAACGAGTGATTTTAATAAAATCCCACACTATGTAGGATTGTGCCCAAATCCCACACCCAAAACCTGCATCCAAATGACCCCCCCAAGGGGCATGCCCTTAGGAGAGAGGCTCCTATCTTTATACACATTTCACCAAGTAAAACTATCAATGTGGTAGTTTTTCCACTTGAGACTCTATAGCTTTCAAAGGGCTTAATTGCAAGTTTGGTCACAAGAATTACTTAAAAATTTCATGTTTGCCACTAAAATTAATTTATTCCATCCGTAGTCACTTAAATTAGGTTAACAGTTCAAGTTTGGTCACAGGCCGTTAGTCTCCGTTAACTTTTGCTGATGTGGTAGTCAACTCTTATAGTTGACCGTTAAATAAGTGACGTGGCAATTAAAAAATAATAAAATAATAAAATAAAATTATTTCTTATTTTCCAGCCAAATATTATAAATTAAAAAATGAAAATCCTAATTCTTTTAATTATTATTTTCCACCGCCAGCAGCTGAATGCCGAATTTGTCTCCGTCCACCACTCCTCCGTCGCCGGCAGAGCTAATGAAGAATCGATCAGTTCCAAGATGGCATCAGCAGCAGCTTGGGATTAAAGATCACACACTGCAGAGGAGCTGCTGCTGAAGTTGAAGAACAGAGCACAAGGGAAAGGAACGTCGTCGTTCTGGTCTCGTTCAAAGGCAGGAAGAGGCTTTGCTCCAAAGGATCAGAACGGCAGCGTTCCACTTGGGCGTTGCTATTGTTTTATGTTTTACACATGTACAGCTTCTATAGGCTAGATTAGAAATTTAGTTTTCCATTTTTACTGTTTCAATTTATCCGTTAGTTACTTTACCTTTCCTCTGTAAATACTTGAGCTGTACATATATATAAAGCAATCAGAAAACGAAGGTCCTCAATCATTGAGAACCCTTCACCAAAAATCCTATCTCTACATTTCTTCTCATGGTATCAGAGCCTGGTTAAGGCAAAAACCAGGTCTCGCTTCCCTTTCAAAACCCTAGCCTTTTTGTGGTGATTTTGCTTCACCATGTCAGGACAAGGAACAAGAGCAGATGGCCATCTCACCGATGATGCTGATACTCAAGCTTCGGAGGACGAGATCCATCATCAAGCTGCTTCGCAGAGCTCCCCCACCGGACGTCGCATTGAACCACTTGCAGCTCAACCTTTTGGAGCACCGCATTTTGCGACCCAGCCCAACACACCTCGCTTTCCCCAGTATGAAGATCCATACCTGAACCCTTACTATTTGCCCTCTCATGATGGAGGATTGACCACCATCATCTCTATGAAGTTAACAGATCATAACTATAATCTGTGGAGTCAAGTTATGGAGGTAGCTCTCAGTACCCGAAACAAATTTCGATTTGTGAATGGAATGATACCTGTTCCTGCTGTTGGGGATCCATTATATCAGTCATGGCTTAGATGTGATGGAACTGTACGTAGTTGGATTTACAATTCATTGTCTGAGGACATTGCTAATAGCGTGGTTGCTTTCAAAGTTGCAAAGGATGTATGGGATAGCCTGAAAGACAGATTTAGTCAAGAGGATAACATGAGGGTTTATGAGTTGAAAGAGCAGATTGCAAAGTGTGTCCAAGGAGATCTGAGTGTCACTCAGTATTATATTGCCTTAACTACAAAATGGGAGGAGTATAAGATGTATAGACCTATCTCATGTTGTCCATGTCCCAATAGTCCATTCTTTACTATCCAGAAGTATGAGAATCAGGACTTTATTATCAAGTTCATGCAAGGATTAAATGATGTTTACCAGTATGCTAGAACTCAGGTTTTGATGAATGCACATTTGCCAAGCATTGAGTCAGTTTTCAAGCAAATGGTGCAACTTGAAAGACAAATGAAAGGATTGAGTTCAGCAAAAGGAAGAGTGGATTCTCTGGCTTTATTAGCTAGTGGTCAATCACAGCAGTCAAAACCTGGACAACCTAGTAAGAATCCTAGAGACTACACCACTGAAGGAAAGAAGTGGTGCAAGTATTGTAAGAAGGAAGGCCACATAATTGTGGATTGCTACAGGCTTAAGAACAAGAGGAGGCAAGAAGGAGAGCAGCCCTTTGCTGGTTCAGTGGACACCACTCTTTCTGAGACTGGGGGTTCTTCCTATGCACATAATTCTGGTGCAAGGAATGATCTGAATTTTCAAAGTCTTCTGACCCCAGATCAGTTTGAAAAGCTGAAGCTCATGTTAACCAACTCACCTTCACCATCTCCTTCACCTCCAACCTCACCTCACCTGCCAGCTGCTGCTCCAGGAAGAGTTCCTACAACAACTTCACACACACATCAAGCTTCTGCAAATGCTGCTGTGAGAGTTCCTCCTCATTTCACAGCTAGTTCAAGTTCAGCAGGTAAACAACCCTATTCTGGTTTGATTGACTCTTTGCACAAGTCTGAATGGGTGCTTGATACTGGAGCTACAGATCATATTATCTGTAGCCTTGGTTTCTTCATTAGAAGTAAACCAGTTGAGAATGTGTATGTGAATCTTCCAAATAGACAACAGGTTCAAGCTACTCACATAGGGATTGTTTGTCTGCCTTGTGGATTATTCCTCACTCAAGTTCTTTTTGTTCCAGCCTTTACTTACAATTTGGTTTCTGTAAGTAAATTAACCCAAAATCACCCAATCTCATTGGTTTTTAAATCAAATTTCTGTGTCATTCAGGACCTTATTACTCGGAGGAGGATTGGTTTAGCCCAAGTGGATAAGGGATTATACCTGTTTTGCCATTCCAAAACTCAGCAGTTTGAGTCCAGTAGAGTCCACCAGCCATTTGCAGCAGGAGTTTCCCATGTCCAAACCTCAGAATCCAACATCTGGCATGCTAGATTAGGCCATCCTTCCCTAGCTAGAATGAAAGATGTTCAAAATCACTGTACTGAGGTTGTTTTACCATTGACAAAACACTGTGAAGTTTGTCACTTGTCCAAACAGAAAAGACTACCATTTCCTTTAAGTTCTTCTGTAAGTTCTGAATGTTTTGATCTTTTACATGTGGATATCTGGGGTCCATTAAACAAAGCTTCTCGAAGTGGTTTTCTTTACTTCTTAACTGTGGTTGATGATCATAGCAGAGCTGTTTGGACTTTCCTAATGAAATCCAAATCAGAAACCAGATCCATTTTGCAATCTTTCTGCAGAATGGTTAAAACACAATTCTCTAAATCTGTTAAGACCATTCGATCTGACCAAGGTCAAGAGTTCCATATGACAGATTTCTATAGTCAAAATGGAATTTCCCATGAAATGAGTTGTGTTTATACTGCCCAGCAAAATGGCAGAGTTGAAAGAAAACACCAGCATCTCTTAAATGTAGCCAGATCTTTGAAATTTCAGTCAGGACTTCCACTTTACTATTGGGAGGATTTCATTCTTCATGCTGCCTACCTAATTAACAGAACTCCTACCCCCATTCTTAACCATAAAACTCCCTTTGAAATTCTCCACAAAGTCCCACCAGACTATATGAGTTTGAGAGTGTTTGGATGTTTAGCTTATGCTACTGCAGTAGAGGGACATAAGTACAAATTTGATCCAAGGGCACGTAAGTGTGTGTTCTTAGGATTTCCCAGAGGAATTAAGGGTTACAAACTGTAAGACACAAACACCAGAAATGTGTTTATCAGTAGAGATGTTGTGTTTTATGAAAACCTTTTTCCATTCAAAACCAATGAGCATTTAGATAATAGTTCATCTGAAGGTGAGCATCTCAATCTCCCTTCCTACTCAGAGTCTTTTTCTCCTCAGGATGACCCTTGTTCTGGTCAACCTTCCCTTGTTGTTAACCCTGCAGTAGAGCATTCTTCTTCACCTACTGCCACACCCAATCTCTCACCTACTGCTGCAACCTTTTCTGATTCTGACTCTGATGATCAACCTGATCCAGTTTCCTCTACTAATCCTTCTCCTTCACCTATTTCCCCTTCTCCAGTTCCTCCTTCTCCTCCCCCACCTGTAGAGCCTGTTAGAAAATCTACAAGGCAGATTGTTTTTCCTTCTAAATATAATGATTACTATGTATGGCTCAAGTCTGTTGCTCTCCTCTGCTGTCCCCTGAACAGCAGCATTTTGCTTTTTCTCTCATGGTTGTTGTTGAACCTGCTTCCTATGCTGAAGCATTGCTTGATCCTCGTTGGCAAGCTGCCATGAGAGAAGAGATTCAAGCTTTATATGACAATCAAACTTGGGAGATCACAGACTTGCCTGGGGGATTGAAAGCCATTGGCTGTAAATGGGTGTTTCGTGTCAAATATCACCCTGATGGAAGTGTTGAAAGATTTAAAGCCAGATTAGTTGCCAAGGGATATAATCAAGTTTATGGGATTGAGTATTGTGACACATTCTCTCCAGTTGCAAAGTTGACATCTGTTAAAATGTTGTTGGCAATTGCATCTATTCAGAACTGGCATTTACATCTATTCAGAACTGGCATTTGCATCAAATGGATGTCAATAATGCATTTTTGAATGGTGATTTAGATGAAGTAGTATATATGGAATTGCCACCTGGGTTGAAGGAGAAACCAGAGTTAAGAGGCAAAGTTTGCAGGTTGAAGAAATATCTTTATGGGTTAAAGCAAGCTAGCAGAATGTGGTATGCTAAGCTCACTGAAACCCTGTTAGCTCATGGTTTTAAGCAATCCAATGCTGATTGCTCTATATTCCTCTCCACTGTTGAAAGTTCTCTTGTTGTCTTAATAGTCTATGTTGATGACATAGTTATTGGGAGTATCAGTTTAAAGGCAGTTGAAGCAGTGAAGAGAATGTTGAAATCAGTTTTCAAGATGAAGGATTTAGGTGATCTAAAGTACTTTCTTGGCTTGGAGATTAACAAGGTCAATGGTGGGATACATGTTAGCCAGAGAAAGTACTGTATTGAACTCCTAAGAGAAGCAGGATTTGAAGAATGCAAACCTGCAAAGACTCCTTCCAGTGTTAAACAGGTTCTCTCTGCCCAAGATGGTGAACCATTCCATGACATTAGCAAGTTCAAACATTTACTTGGTCAGTTACAATATCTGAACACTACCAAACCAGATATAACATATGCAGTACAACAACTTTGTCAGTATCAAGACTCTCCAACAACTGTTCATTTCAAGGCTTTACAAAGAGTCTTCAAATACCTCAAAAATGCCCCTGGGCAAGGATTGTTTTATTCTAGTGACTCCAACATACAGATTACAGGCTACAGTGACTCTGATTGGGCTACATGCCCTGATAGTAGAAGATCTATTACAGGTTTTTGTACATTCCTGGGAAGTGGATTGATAAGTTGGAGAAGCAAGAAACAAGGCACTGTATCTAGATCATCCTCAGAGGCAGAATACAGAGCCATGTCACAACTCAGCTGTGAAATGCAGTGGCTTATTCGTTTACTTGATGATTTTGGTATTCACCATCCACAACCAGCAGTCTTATTTTGTGATAACAGGTCGGCAATTCATATTGCCAGAAATCCAGTGTTTCACGAGAGGACTAAACACATTGAGGTAGACTGCCATGTTATTCGAGAAAGGGTAGTGAATGGATTGATCAGCTTGCATCATTTATCCACTACTCATCAGATTGCAGATCTATTTACTAAGAGTCTGGGAATTGATCGATTCAAGATGTTGTTGAGCAAGCTGGGAGTATCAAAAGATACTCGCTAGCTTGAGGGGGCGTAATGAAGAATCGATCAGTTCCAAGATGGCATCAGCAGCAGCTTGGGATTAAAGATCACACACTGCAGAGGAGCTGCTAC